CATGTGGCGTGGTCCATTGAGTCAGGGTACCAGTTGTTTCGGGCAGATGGTAGGGTTCAGGTGTGGCGCAGACCCCATGAGGCCATGGCCTCCAGTTGTCAACAAGGCACCATGAAGGCTGGTGGTGGTTCCATACTGGTGTGGGGTGTGTTCACATGGCATGAGTTGGGTCCACTTGCCCACCTAAACATGTCATTGACCGGTGACCGCTACGTTACACTGCTTGGTGACCATTGGCAGCCCTTCATGGACTTCATGTACCCCCACAACGATGGGATATTCCAGCAGGATAATGCACTGTGTCATCAGCCTGGAGTTGTCCAGAGTTGGTTCGAGGAGCATTCTGGAGAGTTCTGATGAATGGCGTGGCCACCACATTCGCCCGACATGAACCCAATCGAGCATTTATGAGATATGGTGAAGAGGTCCATTCGCACCCGAAATCCTGCACCTACAAATACCAGAGAGCTGTGAGCGGCTATCCAGACAACATTGATCAACATCTCTCCAGAGGTCTTCCGTCCGCTTGTGGAATCGATGTCACGTCGAGTTCCTGCACTTCGCCAGGCTAGGAGGGGTCCTACACAATACTAGGTACCTATCCCAAGACTTTTGGCACTTCAGTGTATTTAGGCAGCACAACACCAGCAACAAGTCTCATGAAAGAGAAGTAGTAGAAAATCTGTTAACAACTTTCAATTAAATTTACACACACTCAAATGTACATGAATGTATATGTATATACAAAATATGAGAATGGAACCTGTTATCCTTCTTTATATAAAAACATGAAAATACATCTTACAGCAAAGTTAAACCCATCCTGAGTAGAAACAAGATACATCTGAGGCCAATGATAACCCACATGCAGAAACCAGATTTATATGAAGGTTAAATTAGTAGCCACAAATTGCCTCTTTTTCAGTTCACGAGGACAAGATTTGATATAGGAAAATATTTTTGGCACCTATGATTGAGTACAGTGAATTTAACATTTACTGGCTTTCTTGTTATAGGAACAATAAAGTAAGAGATCTGCAACCCACGAAAAAATCTGGCAACACCTTCTAGAATCTTTCACGCACCAAACAATGACCATAAGTGCAAGAGTGTAGAAGGCTAAGTGAGGCAGACCATTCAGTGGTCTGTCTGATGAAAGGTTACACCTATCGCTTTGAATCATTTCATGCACTTTTTCTAATAGGATTAACTTTTACAACAATTTTCCAATCATGAGCCAAAAAAAATGGGGGGGGGGTTAAAAGAACTGAATATCTAGTCTATATAAAACATATTCAATATTTGTTCCTTCATAAAATTAAAATGGATACAATTTTATAAAGGATAAAACAACTCCATCCAGTGTGACTGGACGGAGTTGTTTTATCGTTTATAATATTATTAGTGTGACAGACCAGAACGAAACAAATCGGATACAATTTCCTTATCCTCTGAACTCTTTAAGATGTAGTTGTGGAGTTACACATTCTAACAACATAAAACAGTTTCTAAATCGTAAGACCAGAATAAATAAGATTACACACTTTGCAATATTACAATAAAAGTGGAAGCAACCTGTAAATACAAATGTTTTCCTTGGCTTGATACATGTTACAATATGAAAAGCTTTATGATATTAGAAGAAATATCAAGCTTTATCAACAACCCAAGTACTCAAAATTAGCAGGAGGAAAAAGCTGAAAAGAACATCACAAAATATTATACTCACAAGCACAAAGTAAAAAAATTCATTATCAGGAGGTACCAATACTGTGCAAGCAGTTTATACAACAGTTTAAGATAGGGTACTTGGTTAACAGTGACAAACAGTTCTCACCCTATTGAACTGTTTTCTTATTCAGGTAAGCAAAACGAAATTATGTTTGTTAAAGAGAAGAGCAAATTCTGGTAAGATATTTGAATTCAGAATATATAGTATATGCAAATACATGATATTCCTAAATTTAAAGTGGCATTAAAGAATTCCCTGACCACCAACTCTTTCTGCAGTGTGGAGGAATACTATTGTTATAAATACAAATTCTGAAATTTGACTATATCTAAAGTATTGAAATTGCTGATTTTATGACTGTAAATATTTATTATTTTGATTGTAAGATGTCAACTTTATGTTTTTATATGTACTAGTTTGTGTATAAATATTGTGGCTATCTTGCATGTTTTTTTATAATTTGTTCGAGCATGTATAAGAAAACTTATTATGTTGACTGGTTTGAATCGTTTCTGAAACTGTGCATGTATGGGACTTGTTCCACATCCAATGGCATTTTAGCCCCTCTGGATCTATGGAATTGGAAATAAATATGAATATGAAATCTGCAAACCTATATATTTTTGGGGGTTAATACAATTTAATCACTAACACTATAAGTTATAAATATTTTAGGAAGCAAATGAAAAATCCTGCATCTTTGCATAGCTCATATGAGAGAGAATACTACGAGGGATATCAGGAAAGTAAAGATACAAGTCCAGTAAAATTGCAAGGCAATTTTTCTTTTCAGAAATGGCAGTGCTACCTATGAGACAGGAACCATATGACAGGGCTGAGTTCATCAGCCACAGTCATGGCAACGTTGTGCTTGCAATATGTGTTTAAAATGGCCATGTTCATTCAAAATCCCACTAAATGTGTGGTTCATGCAGTAACTTGATTCGTTCATGTTAAAGGAGAAACTGCTCCTGAAGTTCATCACCAACTTGTTTCTGTTTATGGTGAAGATATTATGAAGAGGCAAAACGCGGCAAAACGATGTCATGAATTTCAAGTGGGAAGAAGTGATGTTCATGAAGTTGAAAGCCATCTGTTGTTACTGATGAAATCATCCAAAAAATTGATGAAAACATTTCTGCTAACTGATGTTTAACAATCAATGAACTTCATCAGCAATGTCTAAAAGTGTCATGAACTGTTATCCATGGCTAAGAGAGCAGGTGGGAGATTTCTACGATGCTGGAATAAAAAAAAACTTGTTCCCAGGCTCATTAAGTGCATTGCAATCCATGATGACTATGCTGAAATGTAATTAAAGGTGTGTTGTAAAAGTGCTACAGGTGAATCCAAAAAAATGCTTCACAAATATTTTCTGAATGAGATAGCATTTGTATGTTCATATGGGGAAAGTATACAGGTCAAAAACCAGTATCAACAAAATCACAATTACATGGAATTCGAGCAGCAGCTAAAATACAAAAGTTGACCAATTTGTTTTAAGTAAGAAGGCTCTCTCTTAAAACCTTTACAATATCTCTCTTTTTTCCTAGTGATTGTAGTTTGGATGATATAAGAAAAGCAATTGTTCTAACCCCTGCCATTTTATTGATACTTAACTGAAGAAATTAAATATCAAATATTGAACCAATGGACCTAAAACTTTCTGAGATATGGAGGTCTCTAAAAAGGAAAATTGCTGTTCCTATTGTTGATTTTAATGTCAACTGAAAGCTAGAAGTGGTTTAAATACCAACTTTATGATTTATGGATCCTCAGCAATTCATGAGACAACAAAATACTAGTACTAGGAAGTTAACATATATATAGCAATACCTCAATATATGAATACTCAACTTAACATTCATTATTTATCATCCGTCAATATTGCAACACTCTTCCATTCACCACTCAATCTTGTAGTTTAACATTATACACCTTGACACTACATGTTTCAGCCCCAAATCGCCATCTTCAGCTGTCTTGATATGTTACAATTATTTTATTAAATTGTGTTAAAACTGCTACACTGTCTTAGTTCATGTTACAGTCACACCCTATAGTCCTCTTTTTAAGGTAAAACCAGATAGAATCCTTTACAGTTTCTAATTTTGGTGCATATTATCTCACCTCACACGGGGTGTTGTCCATTTTCATAAATGTATGTCTGTCCAGGGTGTTTTGTCTAGGCAGCTTGCCCCTCATGTTTGCAGCCTACTTTTCAGTTATGACTGCCATATGCCCTTGGTTTGTGTGTTTCCTCCACAGCGTGTGGTGTTGTGACTAGTAAAGACAACACCACACGCTGTGGAGGAAACACACAAACCAGGGGCATATGGCAGTCATAACTGAAAAGTAGACTACAAACGTGAGGGGCAAGCTGCTGAGACAAAACACCCTGGACAGATATACATTTAAGAAAATGGAGGACACCCCGTGTGAGGTGAAATAATATGCACCAAAATTAGAAACTGTAAAGGATTCTATCTGGTTTTACCTTAAAAAGAGGATTACACCATGTGATTTTAACATGAACTAAGACAGTGTAGCAGTTTTAACGCAATTCAATAAAATAATTGTAACATATCAAGACACCTGAAGATGGCCGTTTGGGGCCGAAACATGTAGTGTCAAGATGTACAATGTTAAACTAAGAAATTAAGTGGTGAATGGAAGAGTGCTGCAGTAATGACAGACGATAAATAATGAACGTTAAGTTGAACAATTGCAACGGGATGCTGAAATACAGAATATGAATACTCAACATACAAAGTTTCACTACAATGAATATTGAATTTATTACTATTATTTTACACGTAAAGTAAAATTCATTGTCATTTGATAATACACAACAATTGTCATGAATAAAGTTTAAAAATATAAGCAGGTCATATGTTCTATGAAATAAACAATGAACAGTGAAACTAATAATTTAATTTAGTTTATATGAAATACACAAGGTTAAGTATACTCACAATGTTGAATATTTGTTTACATCTGCCTAGAAGACTCAGCACACACTATCTACGTTTCAAAATTGCTGTCAGTTGTTATGTGCCATCACTTTTGGTAAAAATGGATTGCAATATATCTTATACTGTGGTGAATGCAACGTTTCTACATTAAAAAAATTAAGTTATAAGGTATTAAAGCAGTTAATGGGTCAAGAAAAGTGGTCACCATGTTAGAGCACAAACTGAAATTTATTTGCCAAATTGAAGCTGGTAAGCATCAGGTTGAAGTGGTAAGTACTTGGTTTTTTTGACTCTATAGTTACAATAATTCTGAATACTACTGATAAAAATAAAAGCACTGGTCAGTCTGCCACTTCTTTAACTTCTTTAAAGTTAACTCACAAGCAGTTTATTAGCACAAAATATGTTTTCAGTCAAAAAAGTCTCTTTAAAACATGGATGATTAAGCTTTTATAGCATGAAATGATAAAATATGAGGGCTAAGAATGTATCACTACAGTACTAATATTAAAAGGTTATTCACTTACAGAGTTTTGACATAAGAATGAAACTTTGCAAATACATCCTGTTCATACATTGAGTATTACTGTACATTGCTGTTATGCACTTGCTGCTGCTTTTAGATTCGTAGAAATAATGCATTTAAGAAACTCTGCATCAAAATTAGCTGTCAAGATTACACAAACTGCCATAAAAGGAAAGGAAATGTTATACAAAACTTCTAGAAGTAACAACAGTAGCCCAATGAAGAATTTAAAATTTCAGATTTTCGAATATATTTAAAAACACACAGTTAAAATATACATAAAATTACAATATGAACAAACACTGCCTCTTGGCTGTGACAATACTTTGTCTATCATAAAAGTCTTCATTCATAAGAAATTTCCATTTTATTGCTCATTTAACATGAAGTTTGAATCTAGCAATTTCTATAAAACAAGAGTCACAAAATTTATGTTAAAATACTATATGAGAGCTATTTAAAAGTTATATACAGGGTCTCCCACGAGGAAAGATCAATATTCTTGGAGGTCACAGTATTGGTCATTATAAGCAAAAAAGTATATATGCACATGTGTCCTATTCCAAACAGTTTCCAAGATGGCTATTTCATGTTATTGTCTGCAAAAAAGAACATCAAGATGCACTCAGATGAGCAACACGCCATGTCCTCACATAAGCTGCAAAGCGCACAGATGCTGATGGCACAATTTTTAAAAATGTATTATACTAGGTAAACTGCACCAACTTTCTCACTTGAACAGTAAATACCAGTATTAGAAACAGTATGTAATATCTCTTTCTTTTCATCAATTTTGGAACTGTACAGTGAAATAGCTCTAACTTGGAAACCATTTGGAATAGGACACGTACATATACACTTTTTGTTTCGAATGAACGATACTATGACCTCCCAGAATATTGACCTTTCCTCCTGGAACACTGTGTATAGGAAGATTTAAAGTTATTTACAGGGTTTCTATACATTTATACATATATCAAATTTATAAATTTACATAAAATTGCATTTGAACAATAATAATAATAATATGACAATTGTGAATAAGAACATATTTTAGAATACCACTGCTGCTGTTCTATAAATCTCTAACTCATACCCAATAGATAAAGGAAGAAATTAAGAGTCTAATAAAACTCTCTTCAGTAACACAAATATAAGAAAAAATACATAATGCTTCAATAATTCGAAATTATTAGTGAAGACAATAGTACTATTCTTAGTTAAAACAATCAAATGATTAATCTCAGAACACTGGAGATTCCTCACGAAGTTAACACAAGGCACTTCCAATTCGTAAGAGTCAAATTGTGCATCCCAACTTTACCATTAACATGGCTAATCCTTACAGCTTCGAAACACTGGGAGTAGATTTCGAGCACCTGTGGATGTCCTTGAAAAGGAAAAGTGGTAACAGCTAGGCACTTCTGAATCATCTTCATTTTTTCGGCCACATGAGTACAATTCTGAACTAGACACACACAAACGTTTGCTGAAAGAGTAAAAAACGAATGGTTAAATTGAAAGTTACATAATGCAGAGTTAAATGGTAGGTATGCATATGCTAAAACTGACAAGTTATAGTGTCTGAAGAGTCCACCTATCATAGATTACATATAAAAATAATAACTCTAGCTTCAGTAAGCAATAAAAGAGAACAAAAATATACCAAAACCTCATTTACAAAAATTTGAAGGGTCTTAAAAATCCATACATCTGTGTCTGGAGAACAGTCTCTCCAGTCCCATTTCTGTAAGAGAGTACAAGTGTTAAACAGAGAAGACTTCTACTGCACATATTTCTTTTCCATTTTAATATCCTTGGAATGTAATTAACATAGCCTGCAATGTAGCTGATTCCATACACACAAAATATTTGTAACAGTTCACAGTGTAGTTAAACTATCACAAAATTGCTCATTCTGCAAATACAGTGCATCTTTTTACAAAAATACATCTACCTTGAGAAGTGTATCTTTATATTGCATTGCATATTCCTTGGAGTTAAAATATTGTGACATGCTGCCTGAAAGCCAGATTGTAAGACATCCATCTCTATACAAAGGACGATGAGAAAGCACGCTACCTAGGAAACCAGTTGAAGAACACGAGAACCTAACACTGGGTTTCCACTGTTATAAAGAGGCTAGCAATACCTAAGTAATGAATCGTTAGAGGCAGTAAAAATGTATATGTATTCCCGCAGCAACAAGAGATTCGTTTTCATAGCAGCAGGCGAAACTAAACCCTACAACAAGGTGTTCCCTATTCAGCCCGAGTGCAGGATATAAGAGTCCAACTTAGGCAAGAGACCAGTTAGTTTTTATCTGACAAGAGACCAGTAGAGCTCCTATCCGACTAGAGCAGAAGCGAGCTCGTAGTCAATGAGAGCTAAGGACAGTTGAGATCCAAGTAGAGCAGAAGACACTTCACTGAGATTAGCAGTGTGAGAGTGTATAACATTGAAGAGGAAACATCCAAAGATGTTATAAGTGCGAATAATTATATTTGTGAGTGTAAAAAGTGAGTGTCCAATAAACATATTCACCAATCCGAAACCCACATACATTTTCTTGTCGCGTTACCTACAAAACATGTGACAATATTTTACATCTACTCTCTCAATCCCTGCACCTTTAATTATGGCCATATGGATTAATGGGCTATATATCAATGAAAAAAAGGCACGTCACTATCTTCATTATGTTTCATGAATAAGAACAGACTGTTCTGCATATAAGTCACACTCATGTTGTTAGAACGAAATGATGGAACAGAAAGTTTGACCTCTACAAGTGCAAATATGATAAGTTTCTGTCACAGTACTGGTTTGACGATAGCAGACTCATGCATTTGGACATCTGCCATTAACATTTATAAGTGAGTTAGTGTAGTATTTAGACAGGATTACAATATAATTGTTTTAACATATGCACTGCTAAAATCAAGACTGACACTTACATCCGAGTCTTCACAGGTGTAATGGAATCATGCAGATCATCTAAACTTCGCTTTCTGGGACTGTTTGCTGGTGTGGTTGTAGGTGTTGAATTTGTTATCATAACATTAGGAATAGATGTATTAAATAACGTATCTTTCTCCCCTCTGATAGGTGAGACATTTGGAGAAGTAGTAGAAGTGGAACTACAAGACTGGTTCATCACACTCTTCGCCCCATTCTCAACTGAAAAAAGGAAAATCATACGCATCACAATTCAAAAACTACTTCACCTGGCTGTCACTGTTAGCATGCAAATCATGTTAATGTAGGCAGAATAAAACTTTTCACCTCCAGATTTTTTAAGCACTGACATATCTTCCAGGCAGGATTTTTTTGTGCTAATACTGAAACCAGCATTTCATGCTGTAATATTTACTTTTTTTTTCAATTTTGTACTAATTCTTCAATTAACATTCCTTCAAACGAAGAAAAAATTCAAACATTCAAAGAACAGAAAACAAGAGTGTATTCAGTGGTGGACTCACTACAGAGATATGAGCTCCCGTTAAGTAAAAAAATGGCTTGGCAGAACCAAGTCCTCAGATCCACATGCCCAGAGGACTCAATATAATTAGGACCCTAGTCTGGAATCTGCCCATGCCCATCAGAGTCCTAAACACCACCTTTCAAGACCAGACACTAATAAAAGGATCCCTGCATACTGTGACCCCACTCACCACAGTGGAACCCTAGACCCAAGAGCCTGCTGCACAATGGGTACAGTTAGAGGACATGATTGCTACTGCAAGACCCAACTTAAGTGACACAGAAACCTGACAGTAAGAAGAACTAGTTGCAATGTACAAGGATGTCTTTGCAACAAATGGCAGTAGCTATGGGCAGACTGACAGAGTGTACCACTGCATCAAAGCTGGAGAAGCCTGACGAATTTGATAAACCCCCAGGAGGCTCTCCCTACAGCAAAACAGGCAGAAGCGGGCATGATGCTAGAGGACATGCAGGGTTATCAAAGAGTCAATCACCCCTGGTCATCTCCTGTTGTTCTCATTTGGAACAAAAAAAAAGGACCTCCATTTCTGATAAGAATACCAGGAAGCTGAATGATGTCACAATAAAAGACTGTTTTCCACTGCCTAGGACTGATGATACACTGGACAAGCTCACCAGAGCCAAATGGTTCTCCACCCTCAATCTGAAGAGCAGTAATTGGCAGGTGGTACCTCATAAACCAAAGGTCAGGGCCTGTTGCATCAGTACAATGTTGGGGCTCCATTTTAGAGGACAGTCATCAATGTAGCAGGACCCTTACCTTCAGAGTGAGCAAGGAAACTGATACCTTGTGACCATGATGGATTATTTCACCAAGTGGTTGAGGACCTACACCACCCCCAACCAGAAGGTGCAGATGGTGGCAGAAGCCCTGGTGACCAACTTTTTATGTTGCTTTCGAGTACTGAAGGAGCTACACACAGACCAGGGCTGTAACTTTGATTTTTGCCATATGCATGAGGTGTTGCAATGCCTGAGAATGAGCAAGATGTGCACAAACCCCTTGCACCTGCAGTCAGATGGCCCATCTTCCTCCTTGTCTATACAGTATTTGGCCACAACACTGCAGCCCTGAACCCAGCTAACCTAATGTTCAGGAGAGAACACCTACCCTTTGACTTCCTATTCATGGCTCCTGACAATGAAAAACCCACCACTGACTACACAGTGGACATCATGGATCAGCCACACAACATCCACAGTTATACACACCAACATCTGAAGGTGGCCAGTGACAGATAAAATGAATATACAATCATCTGGCCAACTGCGCAGGCTTCCAGGAGGGTGACCAAGTGTGGTTGTATCACCTAACCTGCACTAAAGGAAAGTCAACCAAGCTTCAACTACCATGGGAAGGCCCTACAGGGTAGTCACCCAAATCAAAGATGGCAGGGCAGGGTGGGGGTACAGGATCAGTGATTCTCCAGAACAAAGATGACAGTAGTACACATGAACTGACTAGCAGTTTACCACAGAACCACTCGAGATAAGAATCCCTGAGGAGGGAGCAGTTGGAGGACAGCATCACACGACATAATCCACGAAGACTGAAGACAGGACACTGCTGAAACTGGAGCAGGGCGCATCAGCATGACACTGCAGCGCCATTTATGAGGCAGGTCACAAACCTCTTATGTATAACTCCTCAGAAAAAAGGAGATGGAAGGATGCCTGTAAGCTACTCAGGACAAGCAGCCTAAAAGAGGGAGCAATGTGATATCATGCCCAAAAGCCAGATTGGTGGAACCAGAGATGTACACTGTTCAGAAATGGCTCAGTAAACACAATCCTGTAGCAACAGATATGTACAGAGTGATAGAGGAACTCTTGGAAGCAGTACTTTCTATGCAGTCTGTGAGAAGACTATACAGTGGAACCTCGCTTAAGGAGCACCTCTCAGAGCGAGTAATTTGCATAACGAGCAAAACAAATTGTAAAAAAATGACTCGCTTAATGAGTGACATTTCACATAATGAGTGACGAGAGGGGAAGTCCCGGATTGTGCGCTTGCTACATCAGTCTGTGTTTAGCATTCGTTCCACTAGCATCTTAGTGTCGCTTGTGATCACACATTTTTCCAAACTTGTGTTCAGACATATTATTTGTGATTTTTTTTTTGTGCAAAGTTTAATAACCTTTGCAAAAATGTCCCCGAAGAAAGAGCCGCAAAAAGACAGCCATAAAAGAATAAAAATAACCGTAGAAATGAAACGTAAAATCATTGAAAAGCGAGAACGAGGTGTGAGCATGGCTGATCTAGCATGCACATACAATTGGTCTACATCAACGATTTGCACGATTTGGAGTTGCATTGTGTTTCACAGCAAGAGAGTTTGTCAGAGGAGGAGGAAGAGGTAACAGCAAAGCAACAATCTTCTGGTGCAATAAGAGAAATGCTGAAAGCATGGGAAACTGTTGCATCGTACATTGAGAAGCATCACCCTAATAAGGCAGTGGCTATGCGCACTACAAATTTATTTAATGATAATGCTGTGTCACATTTTCACCAAATTTTGAAGCGTCGGCAAAAACAAATGTCTCTAGACAGCTTTCTAGTAAAAAAAGAATTAAGATATGTATCATAAATAATAACCGAATTATTTCGACTTTTTTTTTCTGCAAATCGAATTCGCATTCCAGGTTGGTTCATTCCGCATAGAAGAAAAGATGAAGATGATTCATGCTCCTTAACAATGTATATATACTTTTCTTTGAATAAACGTTATACATAAAATTTTTTTAGTATTTTTTCAGCATGGAACACATTATCATATTTTACATTAATTTATATGGGAAAAATTGTTTCGCTTAACAAGTGTTTCGCATTACGAGTAAGATTCTGCAACGAATTATGCTCGTTAAGCGAGGTTCCACTGTATATCAAGCACCAACTGGATCAAGAATGACTGTGATGGCAAGGGTCAGCAGCAATTTACCTGACTGACCAAATGTCAGAAGCCACTACCATGCAATGACTAATGAAGACATACCAGACTGTGAAGGCTTTGTGTGAGCTGTAGTGATACGTGAGAATGCTATAACTATTTGCAGTTTCAAGTTTAAGCATCAAATAAATCCATTTATCAAACCAAACCCTAACACATGACAATATGAAACTGACAAGATGTGTACAAAGGGGGACCCAAAAATAACAGGAAACGACCTGTTGCGCGCACATGCTTTGTAGTTACAAGTTGTGTTGCTAGGTAGTGTTAGCTGGGGGTCTCCCGCGACTATTAGTGAGCTGGCGTCAGTCTGAGTTAAGTGGTTTGTCTGTGGTGCTCTGTTGTGTGCGTTCCTGTTTCAACCCTTTGGCGATTAGTGAGATGGCCGACCAGAAGGAACAAAGAGTGTGCGTGAAATTCTGGATCGTTCTGCACTTCACTCTTCAAGTCGCGGCAAACATTCACACAGTTTTCTCTTTGGTCATCTCCGAGCAAGCGAGGAACAAATTTTGCAGACACCCGTCTCATGTGCAAACCTTCGGTTAAAATTCGCTGGACCGTGCTCCATGAGATGTTCGTTTCCTCAGAAAGTTGGTCAATGGTCTTTCGACGATCTTCATCAATTTCACGCACACTCTTTGTTCCTTCTGGTCGGCCATCTCACTAATCGCCAAAGGGTTGAAACAGGAACGCACACAACAGAGCACCACAGACAAACCACTTAACTCAGACTGACGCCAGCTCACTAACAGTCGCGGGAGACCCCCAGCTAACACCATCTAGCAGCACAACTCGTAACTACAAAGCATGCGCGCGCAACAGGTCGTTTCCGGTTATTTTTGGGTCCCCCCTCGTATCTATGCTGTAACATGGATGGCCAGAGTGTTGCTAGGTAACAGACCAGTAAACACACACAATACACACTGGCAACAATGGAACGAGGTTATGCACCCCACTTCTAGGCACAATCTCAGTAAACAGACTTCAATGCAGGCACAATGACATCACACTGCAAAAGCACTTTTCAATTTCAATTTATTTCAAATTCAAAAATAGATCCAGATACAGGCTGGGAAACAACCACTGGATATAGAATGAGTCACAGATCAAAAAACAAACATTCCATTCCCACAGGAACAAGTCAAGGCATTCATAATATAAAACAAATAGAAAAGAACATATCAACCATATATATAACAAAACTCCCAACTCCCCCAATTTACAAAACTGCAGAAGTACTAGCTATCAATGACTTGTGTTCTGGGTTGTCTGTGCGGTGCCTATATATCAAATATGTTTCAGGTTGAATCAGTCAGTGTGGAGAGTCAAGGAGAGCTCGTGGCATTTGAGAGACTAGTGCAGAGTGCTTATAAGAGAAGTGAATGCAGCAACATTCAACTCAGTCATATGCAGGTAGAGTGAACTGGGACTAGGAGAACAGAAGAGTACAGGAGGTCGGCCTGTGGGGATTTAGAGTGTGATTTGAAGACTTCATTTACGTGTAATACCTGGAGTGTGTAATGCAGCGAGATTGTTATAGTTTCTGTATGGAGATCCATTGCCAGGAGAAAACTAGTGAAGTCTGATAATCCTTGTGAGTGTGCAATGGCGAAATGGAACGTGTCTAAATTAGTGATAGCACTGATTTGCTGTACTTAAGTGTGATTAAGAAAGGCTGTAACCAAAGTGACAATAAATCCAATCATTCAAACTAGTACTGTCATTCTCATCATACGTACCACCCTACACTGACAATACTTAAAAGATAAAGTTAAGTCTAATGGTCAATGTTCAAAAGTGCATACAAGCTAAAGCAGTGGTTTCCAATCTTCATATAATACACCAGTTCAACTGGCCCCTCACTCTTCTTAATTGTGTGTGTGTGTGCGTGCGTGTGCATATGTGGATGCATAGAAAACAGCTTTTCTAAGTTTTTCATTATTAAAGCAAATGCATTTTAGGATTTTATCAATTAAAAATATTTATCATGATTTACAAATGTTACTGAAATAATTCACTTGCACGATTAATCGCATGCCCATATCCAATCATTTGAAAAATATGTTTAACGCACCCTGTTTTAGAGCATGGGCCATACTCAAGTTTTATATCCACTTGCCTAATTTATGTTTACAGTACAACAGTCCATCACCAACCACTGTTATTAATTTAGCTGTGATTTTCCACTTCTATTTTTCCTGACAGGTGTATTCAGTTTTATGTTTCCAAGGATTTTAATTTCAACATTCTTGATGCATTTTATTCATTCTTACATGGCATCACAAAGGAATGGTGGACTTTTGTAAAGCAATAAAATACAAAACACTACCACTGTTTTGTTCTCAAGAACATAAATACTGCGGTTGGAGTTCAACAGCTGTATTTGCAATTAAATGGAACATATTTGACATGGAGGACAGTTTTACATTACCCATCAATAACAAGACACCTTGCAAGAGCTCGTGTACTGCAGTTTGCATGGCTGATTTAGATAGCTTTCTGGCACAGCCTACCAAACCTTAGTGTCAGTCATCAAACTATGAATCACAATTCCTTTTCCATTAACAACCGTGATAAATATGTTGTTTCTGTGACAGCAGCAATCCAGTTTTGTATACACGCCACAAAAGTAAACAAAACGGACAGTCATTTTTCACAAGCAGCCAACAATGAGCAAAGTTTATCTACATCATTCACATCTACTGAGAAAATCTCATATGTACATCATTTGCCCAAAGATACTGTCGGTGACAAATGGGTGTTTAACCAATTCAAATACCGAGACACCAATGTATGAAATACAATGAAAATTGTCCCTGCAAGTGCTAAAGTGGATAAGGAGGAATATTTTGTTAGCTTCTGCTTCACTGCTGGGACAACATCTTTCAATGGTAGCAAACACGCCAAAAATTTTACAATCTTCGTTTCCATTTTACAGTTCTAACTTCTTTGTGAATACATTATCTAATTCAGAGTATTAATTTGAGGACCCCGTATTCATTTATTCAAATTATTTAGTTTTTAAAAAATGTCTACCAAATAGACCACTTTCTGAACAAAATCTTCAGTGTAAAATGAATCTGCATCATCTCTGTTATTACTATCACTCAGAAAATGTCCACATCTTCATTCAGTTCAGATATCCTGTGAAGTACTGCCATATTAGAGCCAGGATATCTCAGAATAACACAGCAGTACTGTATCTCTGCCTCAGCATCATCACATAACTTTGCAAAGAGTCTTCTCAGTGGACTGTTTCTGATACAGTTAACAACTGTAATGTTCTTGGGTGATGGTAAGAGCATTGCCTTCCTCATCTTCAATGAAATAGGGGCCTAATATACCATGTGCTGAGACAGCACACCATATCGTCACACATGTACTATGTAGCAGTTTCTGGACGATAACAACTGACCGCTCAAAACCAAGGAAGCGAGTTGTCTGGTGACCACTTCCATACGAGCGGAAATAACACTCAACTATGAATATTTTTTCCTCCGTCAAGAGACCCATTTCCAACAACTGCACAACACAACTTCCTTTTCACTACTGGGAACACATGAGGCTGCAGCTATGCCCCATCGACAAACGCACATGCACGTTTGAGATGCATGAGTTTCATTATTGCAATTTTTGGTACATACTGTATATTTGTGCCATACTCAGTAGTACTCTTTCAAGACTATGTCCCTTTTTAATTTATTCAGCTTCATGCTGTCTGCAGAAAGAATTTATATGCAAGGTAAATACTGTGGCCTCTCTTCTGTATCAACAACATCTGTGAATCCAACACACACACATTTTGCACTGTATTTTCTACATTTAGGTTTTTATATACCACTTCTCTACATGAATTAGACTGACTGTCTTTACTTGAGCTGGCTTCTTTATCTCTATCTTTCCTTTGTTAATACTCAAAAGTTTTCTAGCACTGCAGGAGCTATGATCACATTCAATAGATTGCTCAAGATGCTTTTGTATGAGAGAAATTAACATGAAACCAACACTACAGAATATTGTGACAACAGTACAGTAGAACACAGTGAAAAACAGATTGATAATGCATGTGCACTGGCACTGAATGTCAACTGTTGAGACATAGTGAGCAATTATAGGAACTAAAAATGCCAGTTACAATGTTGTGAATCATGAAGAGCTAACAGCTACTGTTTGCAACATTGAACTTCAAACTGTACAACTGTGCTGTAAGTATAAAGAAAGCTTTTTTAACTGAACTGAGCAATCTCATGGTTGCAAGGGTTGCTTTTGAAAGCAATGAACAAAATTAAACAGTCTATCATTCAATATTTTTTAAGAATTACAATCAATTAAATTTTGCTATATAACTTTCCCAGAATATCTCACCCCCCCAAACCAACTAGTTGCCCCTCTACCTCCAGGGGTAGGGGGGCACACACCACACTTTGGAAACCACTATGTTAATGTTTGCCTTTGAAAACTTTGGTATTCACACCAGTCTATAAATTACTGACTTCACAATTCAAATCATGAAAATTCACAGCAAAGCACACTTACCATCAGAGCATGAAGTTTCCCACTGTCCAAACTTGGTCCCATTGGTGACACACCCATTGGTAATGCAAGCACTGGAGATGTAATCGCCACGTGTGCCAATGTGTAAGTATCCAAGAGGCAGTAACATGATTTCCATGAGACTTTTCAAAACTGCACACCAGTTGCTGCATAAGGACTGCACTTGTGAAACCTATTTACATGTCAACAGTTAGTCAGAATACAATTACACATGAAATAAAACAAATTTAAAAAATGAACAAACAACAGGTGTGTTAATTTTATATTTTCAAACTAGACAGTAGAAGAATACTTCACATTATAAAGCATTAAAACCTCCAGTTTTAGAGTATCAGTACTGAACCATATAAAATTAAATATGTAGCTGAATGTTCTTTTTATAACAAAAAGTGACCATATCCAGCTGACGATTCAACATTCCTGAAGAGAAAATATTTGTGCAGGAAAACAACAGTCATTGTGCAAGTAGTATGAAATTTCCACAAATATACACATTACATGCCCCAAAAGCAACAAAAGCCTGACTAGGCAGCATAACAAGAGAAGAAAACTACACTTCTCCCTTAGTCGATGCAGCTAAACACCGTGTTTAATGTCTGATAAAGATAAATCATTATGTCCGATTTTTTTAACTGCAGGCGGTAATGTAGTTGGTTGAGGCACTATGCTACAAGCTGGAAGGTCACGGGATCGAATCCCAATGAGGTGGATTTTTTCAATTTACCTAATCCTTCCAGCTGCATTATGGGTTTGGGGCTGACTCAGCCTACAACAGAAATGAGTACCAGGAATATTCTTGGGGGTAAAGGGTGGCCGGCGCATAAGGCTTACAACCTTACCACCATCCATGAGCTGACTGTCTAGAAAATGTGGGAACCTCAACATCTCACAACCCTATGGGCGTCCACAGCCTGTTACAGGGATAGCTTTACTTTTTTACTTTTAGGTTTTATATTACATGTGTGCCCTCTCCTGTCCATTCACAATAACAGGTACAGGCAGAAAGTTAAGCAGGTCCCTTATCACTATAATATAATATCCTTAGGTTACAGCTGGAGAATATGGCTTCAGACGTGGAAGTAACTGTAAATACATTGAATAAGATAGTGTAGATAGCTGAAAGTTGTTGCCTCCCAACTTGGGGTATAGTCAACACACAACAATTCTTCCTTACAAGACTGGTTCATTATGTAACCAATAAAGTTTCAAAATTATAAATCAATTCAACAGTCTAATGACGATGATGATAAGCCTTATGTGATTTTAACAAAAAAATATATATACTAAAAAAAGGCTGTTAACTTACCACTTGGCTCACATAGTGAGACCTACGACGTCTCAGCATCAACTTTGTGAGATGTGGATGAGCCAGAAGGAAATCAACTGTTGGACGCTCCACATAATCTGGGGTCATCATTGCTCGTATGAGTTCAAACATTTCAGGGCATATATCTGCAAAAATTAATTACAGCTGTAGAATTAATTCTGGGTCTGTTAAAATATAAATACAAAACACTAAATAAATGCAAAAGTTTTTCACAGGAGCATTTCTTTCAAAAAAAACATGAAACTTGTAACATTGATTGCAGTAAAGTGTAAGTCACATTTTGTGAGAGAACAGGAAGTAAGATGGGACAAACCAACAGCCGAGAGCATGACTTGAAATGAGACTTGAGATGAGACAGTCAGACAGATGAGACAGTGTGTGTCTGGTGTTCTGCAGAGAATATTTCCAAAACTGGATCTGCTTCTGTTCTCAGGTGAAAAGTCAGAGGCACCTACGCTGTTGTGTCTGTTAGAAAGGGCTAAACGGAAAAATTGGACAACCTAAGTCAGTGGAATACTATACACTGTACAAAGTCTAGAAACTCAATAATCCTGACTGTTATCCACCATCATTAGAGCTGACTTTTACATGACATTTTTAATGACACAGGACTAGAGTAATAAACTTTGCCACATTTAAAAATCTAACTGCCAGGAGAATAATGTTCTTGCAACACAACATTCAGTGCATATTGTTTTCCTATTTCACTTTACACCATACCACAGATTTCAGGAATAGCATACTATTTCGAGTTTCGTGTCCAAGCCTAAGCTATTCCATTCCATTGACATGACTCTGGCTGAAAATGTCAAACTTAACAAGGAACACAATCACAGAATCTTTCAACATTCAATCATATGCAAATGGACACAATAATGAAATCTATTCTTTGGGAGAAACTAAACTCCTGTTAATAGCATGGCAAGTCATAGACCTTTCTCACTGGCTATGACGCGACAAGGATAGGCTACACACACATATAAGATGGGATGCTAAGAACTAATGACAGTTACACATGTGGACAAACCTAAAAAGTGTGATAAAAATAGCTCCAGAAACAAGTCAAAAGCAAAGCCTGTGCAGAAAGTCTGGTAAAGAAAATGGGCCAATTTATGAAATGTGCATTGTAGTCAAGTTACCTCATTTTATAATTACTCTTCTATACATATAATACTAAAAAATTTACTGTACACTGTTTTCAATTGTTAAAAGTTCTCATTTGCAAGACATACTTGCTCTGAAGTGGTAACACTGCACATACATATAAACAATATTTAATATCCAAATAACAAGCAGGAATTTAAAAAAATAAAGAAAATCTGCAGACTGAATACTTGATTTTGAGGACTGAAACCTTGACCTCTCACACATTAACTACAAATGGTAATCATACGTACGCCCAGTGTGATCATCAGGAAATATTCCATTTCTTAATTCATGCCAGAGTGGTCCTCGAGATGGCAAATCCAGATCGGATGCAAGTTCTAGCATTGTTATTCCCACACTGAATATGTCGGCGGCCTTTGTGAAATGTCCAGTCATTAGTTCTGGTGCAAGGTACTTGGGATCACCTTCTACAGCATCATCCAAGTCTTCCTATAAAAATGAACACTTTTCTAGTAACAGTTTCTTGGATCCTATTAGTTCAAAAAGTAACTTCACTTCAAACAGGCACTGAAATGAGCTATGGGTTTAATAAGGCTGTATCAAGTACAACTTTTATGCAGCATCTAATTATTAAACTGAGATGGACTGAAACTAACAAGCCTGAGTTCATTAGTATCAAGCCATCTCCTTTTATGTGAAAAAGTTTTTGATGCTTATTTTAAAATACTGCACCTGCATTCATTTAAAGTGAGAAACTCAACAGGACAGCTAAAAATGTCCAGGATTTGAATAATGTATCTATGGAATTTGAATAAGATGTGTGACATAGTCACACTGGGCAATAAGAAGACACAAGTTTTCTGAATCCTTGACAGCATAATAATCACAAGGCTGTTAATTTCATACATATAGATAAATTAACCCTACAGTGTGGTTACACATACACTGTATATCGGGTATCTGAATACCTTGTTTGCAACTTCATGTACACGGTACATCCTACTGCAAGCTTAATTTCTTTGCTCGCTAGCTGAGGAAGTACAATCTCTATTGAGATGGGGTTTGCATCACACTACGACTAAATAAATTAACTCTTTCTTTATGTATCAATAACTCTAATTATCCTACAGCTGATGATTCAGACTCTAATCTAAATGCATGACATCAAAGTCATCATGGCCAGGCCTTCAACCTGATGTGTGCTTAGTGAGTTCAAAGTTAATGAAAATTATAAATGAAGTTTTCAAGAATGATATAATAGAGGTGAGCAGTTCAATTGATGATATTGGCTTTGGTGATTACATCCAATTAGTGACTCCTGGAATAGAAGCAATTCATGATAGTGCAAATGAGTGAATATACATACAAAGAGCTATAAAATATCATAAACAAGGTACAGAAATGGAAGGGGTCTCAAAGAAATTTATGTGATAGAAACATCAGTATGCTATCTGCAGCACGGGAAACATTTTGTGGTACTCACGGTCCACAGTCCAAAGAGACGTTAAGGATTTCAGGAGTATGACAGTCCTTTATTGATGTCAAACATATTAATTTTTTGGGAGGAGTACCAATACAATACACTACAATAATTTCATATTAAATGCAATGCACCCAAAGGACACTGTTCTCAGCACATTTGAAAAATGGTTTCATTCATTCCCAGACAATCAAACCACAAGAATGGTGTGATATGAACCTAACAAATTATATTCAGAGAGTCACATAGAGTTACCCTAATGGCAACATGGTAATGCAAGTCAGATATTCATTACACTGATGGCAACTCTGAAGACTATCTGAAGAACACACTGCACTGACAACATATTCATAAGCTTTCACCTCATTAAAAAATTTCTGGTTGGTACAGTCGCTAAACAGCCACTGAGTGGTGCACCCAACTGTATTACAGAACACTTATTGGCTAGCTAAAACCATAATAATATGGCATGCTGCCAGAAAGCCGGAATGGTTGAGGAGATCAGAGTTGATTTCCTAGGCAATGACCAGTGTTTCCACTGCAATGCCTTGGAAACCGAATGCTAGCAAATGTAAGTAACGAATTGTTCAAGGCAGTTGCATAACAACGGCTGTGATAAACATGTATCCTTCAGTGGAAATGTAATACCAGCAAGGCATTGCCAAGAAATAGCTTAAAAAACAAATGCGTTACCCTGGAGATGGAAGGATATCCATGGCAAAGAATACACCAGGTAACGTATTCCCAAATTTGTTGTGTAACATAGGGCAAAACCAAACCCTTGAACATGGTGCATTCTATTCAGCCTGAGTGCACGTTATAAGAGTCCAGCTTCAACGAGACCAATCTGTTTTTAGTGTAGTTCCGATTAGAGCAGAAGCAAGCTCACATCCAACAAAGGATAGTGAAGACACTTCACCAAGATCAGTGGTGCAAGTAATTATAAGGGTGAAGAGGAAACGTCTAAAGGACATTATAAGTTGATAATAATTGTAAGTGTGAGTGTAAAAGAGAGTGTCCAATAAACATCTTAGCCAAATCCGAGACTCACATGAGTTTACTTGTCGCGTTACCAGGGAAACACGCGACGATATTAAAAAAAAAATTGGGAAACCACTATAATGAAGTAGATTCTAAAAGGTTCTGACAATGCTGTATAGCACGCAGGACTACTGGGTTTTTGGATTTTGTCCATCATCCAGTATTATAAAAATCAGAGATCACAGCGTTGCAGAAACTGGATCTGTTTCCATCCTCAAGTGAGGGAGGAGAAGTGCTAGAAGTTTCTCTGAGAACCACATATTTTCAGGTGGATGATAAGTTCTTCCAACAGAAAGAAAGCATAGCTATGGGAAGTTCTCTGTCACCGCAGCAACCTGGGTTCAAGCCTGGGTCAGGTCATGTGGGATTTGTGGTGAACAAAGTGACACTGGAGAAGGTTTCCTTCAAGTACTTCAGCTTCCCCTGCCAATCTTCATTCCACCAACTACTCCACAATCACCATCAACCATCATCTGGGGCTGATACAATAGGCCAGTAGTGGCCACAGTACCAAGTGGAGTCAGTCTCATTCCTCTGAGAATAATACAAAAAATAATAATACTGTGTATGATTCTATTATATTTTTCTAATTTTTTTAATAATTTACTATATGGAAAAAACATACCTTTGACACATCTACGACCAAACCAAAGTCTCCAAGCTTATACCGGCCATTCAGAGCTACCAGGATATTCTCCAGTTTAATGTCCAGGTGAATCAAGTTATGATCATGCAGATGCTTCACAGCCTGTTGAACAAAAAGGTAATTTCAAAATATACAAATGCAACATACTACCACAGTCAGTAAGTTCGTGGAATGGCCGCAAAGTGTCGTACGAGAATTTAGTCGATATGTTTCAGCAATGTTTTCGACAGCTATATCAATGTTGGCAGACTTGCATAGTGGCCAACAGCAACTATTTTGAGGGCCGATGTGGATCTGCTAAGTGTGTCTCAATACCTTGTAATATGATGTGATAAAACCACATTCCACGAACTTAATGACTCTACAATGAACATTAAGAGATATTCTTATACATACAAAAAAATCAGAAAGCCCTGAGAACTAGCAAGAGTGAAACAGAAAGAAATGCTGTAAAATTGAATTCAAAGCTACAGGGGATGGACAAAAATATAGAAACACCCAACAAAAAACACATTACCATGACTAATATGGTGTAGGACAACCTCTGGCTTGCAGAACTGCTTACTGTCTCCTTGGAAGGATAAAGAGAGGTCCTGTATGATTTGCGAAGGAATTTTGTACCATTCTTCCTGCAAAACATTGGCTAGTTCTGTTAATGATGATGGAGCTGGATAGCGCGCACGCAGATTGCTCTCCAAAACAGACCACAAAGGCTCAATAATATTAATATCTGGCGATTGTGGGGGCCATGGCAGACGTGACACTTCATCTTCGTGCTTGTCCTGGATGATGTGAGCTGTGTGAACATGGGCATGGTCATCTTGGTAAATGGCATCACCACTGGGAAACAAAGTTTGTACCATGTGATGGACCTGGTCGCCCAAAATGGTCACATAGTCATTAGCAGTGATGTGACCTTGCAGGGTAATGATGGGTCTGACAGAATGCCATGATATGGCTTCCCATACCATGATCAAACCCCCACCATGTTTCACTCTTGGCAGCAAACAATCTGGATCGTAAGCTTGGGATGGCGTTCTCCTCGTGTAAACTCGGCCAGAAGCAGGAAACAGTGTGAAGGTGTACTCATCCAACCAAATGACTGTCTTCCATTGCTCCATAGTCCAGGTTTTATGACCTCGGAACCACACTCTCCTCTCAGTGGCATTTTGATCACTGATGAGTGGCTTTGGAATTGCAGCTTGTCCAGAAATACTCTGCTTGTGGAGTTCCCTTCATGCTGTTTTGGTGCTGAGAGGGTTTGTGAGCATGACATTCAGTTCAACAGTCACTTTTGCAGCTGTAGTCTTCTTATTTTTCATCACAGTCCTACGCAATGTTCGTCTGTCTCAATCACTCAACACACATTTCTGTCCATGCTGATGTTTATTGGATGCGGTCATAATCTTGGATACTGTGACTCACGAAACACCAAAAACCTCAGCTACCTTGGTTACAGAAGCACATACCATATGGGCCTCAACAATTTGCCCACATTCAAATTCTGTTAGCTCTGACATGATGCACCAAAAACTGCACAGAACAATGTCTTGACAACAAATGAAGATTGCAACGTACTGCGGCAGTTGTACGGGTAGTGGTATTGGCCAGATACGACAGAGTCATCTAGAAACGTCGCTAAAATAAACACTTCAATTCAGGCATGCAGGTGTTTCCATATTTTTGTCAATCCCCTGTAGATTATCATGCAAAAATGCTTGGAACAAAACAACACAAAAGTTCAGACACATAACTGTCACCTGTGACAGGATTTATCCTAAAATACATGTTATAGCATACAGGTTAAGTTATACTTACTAAAGGCAGCAGTATACAAAAAAACCCACGTATACACGCGCGCTAAAAAAATTGTTATAAGTTAAACCTTTTCAGACTCTATGACACATGTGTGGGTTAGGACACTGAAGAAAAGAAGACAGAAGAAAAAGGTGCTTGAGGAGGCGTAAGAAGCAGAAGAAAAGGGGAAAAGAAGCTGTAGAAGAAGAAAAAGAATAGGAAAAAATCAAAATAAAACTGTCCTTCCTTTTATGACATTCCTTTACTGTACTGCTCAGAAAAGCATTAAGAAAAGTATGTAACGTTCTAAATCCCAAAGGGCTAAATATTAAAATTAAAACATACCAATAAAACATCAAGAAGAATATCCCATAGCATATCTTGGGTAATGTCATGGTTCACTTCTGTATATTCTTCCAAGCTTGTTCTGCAGAGTTCCAGCTGAATGTACAGGTAGTCATCCTCCTCCCATGCTCCAACGAACTCAACACAATTATCATGCTTTGGAATCATTTCATGTTTCCTAACTTCTTCAAGTTTCAACCTTCTGTAATTACAAAGTTATTAATGAAGCAATAAGCATAAACAACACCTCAAAAACACTGACTGTTTTCATGCTACTTCTCATGGAAGTCATCAAACTCCAGTGGGGCAGACAAACTGATAATGTTACCAGTACCTAAACACACTGAATGATTTATATTCTCCATTCTCTGATTTTGAGTGAATCTAAAATCTCTCTTCGTAGCTATGATCATAAAAATGGGATTACTGTGCAACATTGTAACAACTACTGTAACAAATGACACAAGATGGATTCTTACATTTCACAAGCAGAAATTACAATGGCAAATGGGCAAAATTTATGACAGATTGTGGAAACTCAAACAAACATTTCAGATCACAAATAATGCATACACTACACAAACTGTTATAATTCTGTGCATATACAAGTTGATAAAATCGCCATTCCTTTCAAAAAGAGGACTGCTTTTAAACAATACATTCTTACAATCACAAATGTTTATGCACTTCACAGTACGTGACCCCTGGTTATGTGACACAAACAAGAAAGGTAAAGTTGTTCCATGTGCTTAACTAATTAAGCACTACGCCATGAAGGTGTATGTGGGAGTGGATGTATAGATCCACATTTTCTTGACCTCAGCACTAGTTGGGGGTGAGTGGCCAGCTTCATGCCCTGGCCACTTTACCACTGGGAAAAGAGCCCCCAGTACCCATTGGATAAGAGGCTGGGTGGTCCCCAGAGCTGGTCTGGACAATGTGGAGAACAGAAAATTCTTGGCCCTGGCGAGATACAATTACTAATCTAAACACTACAGTCACTCAACCATGTGACAACTAGTATCAGAAGTGAGATCACTGGATTGGATTGGATTGATGATTGCGTTGTGTAGTTACAGAATCATACCATGGAAATGGGACAAATGATGGAACAACTGGTAGAATGCCTGGTGTAAAAGGTGGGAGCCGAAATGAAAACCAACCAAGAAAGGCTGCAAGCCATGACATAGGCCAATCAGGATAGGATGGAGGCTAACCAAGAAAAAATGGACACCAGTCTAAGGAAGATGAAAACCCAGGTTACCTCGCTCCCCAGATGGATGCTTACCACGCCACAATGCATTCCCACCATGAGATGATGGCCATAATCAAGGCTTCTCTAGGAAAGACAGAGGTCAGGATGAAATTGGCCAGGAACAAACTGTAGCCAAAATTAAGCCTGATGTGGAAGAAATGAACACCACAGATTTTGAGGAAAATCCAGAAGAATTAGAGCCCACAGCAGAGCATCAGAAAGTCCCTAATGAAGAAGCTGCAGTGGAGACTCTTGGAGCATGGGAGGACTGATCTGGGGATCAACCGGTCGTGGGATACATAAACCCATGGGAGAGGCGGAACAGGGGTGATGTACAAAGAATCCCTAAAGGACCTAAGCTTTGGAAGAGATGATGGATGCAAAAGAAATTCAACAACAGCATAAGGGACTAGGACCAAAAAAGTAGCTACATCTAGGAAGCAAGAGGATGATCAATGAAGCCCTGAGACAAACCCTATGGCTGGTGGTCAATCTAGCAGCAGGATCTTCCATCAGGATTTGAAAAATGAGCATTAAAACACCGTGGAGAAGCTGCCCAATGCCCAAGTGAAAGAAGAGACTACTAGCATCTTAAAAGCCAGTCATGCAGGAGCACTAATCACTACCGGCAGTTTTGCCCTCAACAACTAGAAAAGAAATGGTGGTACACCTGTAGGCTACTTGGGATGAAGGGCCTTAAGGAGGGATCAATGTGGCATATCCACTGAAAACTGGAAGAGACAGCCATGACTAGGTTATGACCCAATAGTGACCAACAATTGAACACAAAATGTTACATTAGTCTAGCAACAGTTACTTGCACAACAACAGTAGAACTGTTGGAATAGGTGTTTTCTGTGTGGTCCCCTTGGCTGCTGTGTGATTGTGCAATACTGCAGGTGCACCAGTTCTCTGTAGTTTCCTATGTATATCACCATAATGGAATACGTGCATCTGTTCACGCACCTGTCTTTGTCACTACGGAAACGTTCCTTTGATCTTTTCACTGCATAATATAGCCCTGTTTCTTTATATCGTGCTCTGAACACCTCTCCAAATGAACCTTCCCCAATCTGATGGACATCATCAAACTTCTGTCTAAAATAGGTAAGATGATGAGTGTGTTTGTGGAGTCTGCTTAATGATGGAGCTGCAGTCAGAATTAAGGCTTTACACATAAACAATTTCAGCATGTAAGGAAACAAACATTTTGAAGGTAATTACAATACTTATTAAATATTATTAGGTTAAAAAATAAGGTGTTCTGGGCTGTAACACTGTGTTGTTCAGACACAACCCAATGTTTTGGAGGAGTATATTGCCTTCATCTTCAAGGTACTGCTGCTGGTGACTGTTGGTTCTTGCTTGGATTATTCTTTGACCCTGAGGATGGTGGTATGTTCTGCCAAATGCAAAATCAGTGTTACAACCCAGAAGACCCTAATTATCATAGGCACCAGCACCACCACCACCACCACCACAACCTCAAATCAAAACACAATGACATTATTTTTATTGAAAAAATGAGGGTTATCTTATATTCATACACTTAGAAAGTCCCATGCTGGATTGAATGCTTATATGTCACAAGAAGTATTCTGCAAGTAAGCAGCAATTTCATAGTTCTCTTTCTTTCATTTCAAAGACAAGGTAGCATGCCTACAGCTGGCTCTTAATACGTGAAACCAGCACCATAGTGCATAAGGCTGGCAGTCACTGATGGCATCTGATAGTTAAAGCTTTAATGTAGAGAGCATTTTCTTTACTTTTACAATTCGACATTTTAAATTTTATATAACATTTTTGTTAATACACACAACTGTATAAATAATTCACAGATCATTCTACACACTTGGCAAATTCGTGTGTTACACTAAAACATGCTCCATGTGATGTCCCTGAAGATCACAAACTTCATGTAAATGAAAAACAAAATAGTTCAGAACCTTGGTTATTATAGAGTTTCTGTAGAAACTACTTTGACTTGATGGCAGTTTTTGGTTCTGGAAATGTGAATCGATTTATCTCATACACTATATCCTTCAAGTGCCCCACTCAAAATATTCACAGACATAACAGTTATTCCACACAAAATCAACACATTTTTATAAATGTCTGTGGCTGCTGAATTTTTTTTATTTGAATGCAACTAACTATAACTACATGTTCATAAGACTCACACAGAAGTATAAATTATTTTGTCCTGTAACTCAGTTATTCTGAAAACAGTTCTATCTTCTGAGACATATTGACATGTAGTCTGCTGAAAGTTAATTGATATTTCAGAGGAACGTGTAATTTCCATCTTCAAGGTCAAAGAATAAGCCACGCAAGAAACTTTCTATGGACTATGCGGGGTTACATCCCAGAAGACAGAAATCTTCAACTCCTCTTTTGCACATGTGCTTGACATATGGTTTCCTCAAGCTGCCGTTTCACAGACAAAACATTCTTCTTATCAGGGCACAGGGAACTGCCTACTCATCATTCTGATAAAATTGGATGACTGTATAACAGCATCAGACAAACACCCACTTTCCTTTTTTTCAACTTCAGGAAGAATGCCACAAGTTTTCTATAAAACACTTCATTTTCTCAAAATATACTAAGACACACCACACACCACAAACTGCTACTACCACAATTTACCAGCCATGAAGTATTAGTGAAACAAGCTTAACATTTTCTGCTACTGCCCAAATGACTAAACTTTTATCCTGACACATTGCAGAAGTCTCTCAGTCTTCATGAATTGGATTGGATTCAATTTTCAAATCCTCCACAATCAAATGGATTCAGTGGGACATGAATTCTCTTTGAAATTTTTTGTTTACTTAGAGGATGCCTGTTGCAACTTCCTTTCACCAAGAGCAGCAACATTTTCCTCCAAGCATAAAAGAAATGAGTATACATACTATTACATTACGTTTTTTGGCAATGCAAAAATATTCTTTTCAAGTGATCTGGTTCACTTAGGTCGACCAGTACAAATTTTTCTCATTTGATAAGTATGAATACCAAAAAGGCAAATATAATTAATATATGTTACTTTGTGATAGTCATTTTGTTAGTTCATCTGCTAAACAGGGTTCCATTGTGTATAATTCTCAATTACAGATATGGAACAGAAGAAATGTTCAAAACTTGGTGTTGCTATAATTAAATTTCAAATTTCATTTCAGAAGAAAATGTAGAATATTATGATAGATTTGGCCATTTCTTGGAAACAAATAGGTAAACACATTCCCAAGCATTCAAGAATAGGTGCCCATTGCTATGCTATGGTTATAATACTATGTTTCCCTCCGTGCACTGTAACTTTCACTGTTGAAAGCCAATACGACAGCATTGAATTGTAGGTTGCACAGTAATGACTTCCTACAAGAGATATCCACAAAGTGACACCCTTCGAGGCAGTGTCTGCTATCATGGCTGCCTAACAGTTATAACCAGAAGTCATAGATGAAGTATTTTATGTGGTGTATTTACAGTAATCTTTCCAGTGTTGTCATTATTCATACATAGTTACGAAGCGGTGTAGTTATAGAAATATTATATTTCAGCATCCTGTTGCACTTGGACACTATTTTAAATTGTAAACTACATAGAATATAATGCATTACAGACAGAATACTTTACAATTTAAAATAATTACAGTAAGAGAGAAAGTGTTATAATCAATTGTAGTTCTGCCAGGTGAATATCCAATAAATTGACTCACTGAGCCAAACCCACATCTAAAGTCACTAATACACATGAAAATATTTAGAGAACACATTTGTAACCTATTATTTTCCAATTGTAAGTTATGCTGCATACATTACACTCGATTTAGACACCTCCTGAAAAATATGCTTATTACTTTTGGAAATATAAATACTTTTCTGAATATATTGATATTCTGGAGTAAAGAATAACCTGCATCTCATAAACTTCAGCATTCTATTTCTTCAGATCAGCTGGATTACTAGTCAAAGTATTCAGCAATTTTACTTTGTAACCGAACCATTGAAATCCTTCCCCCCCTCTTTTTATTTCAGTAGTTTACGTATAAAGTAGAATTGTAAGAATTACTAAGAAACAGGAAGACACAGTCAGAACAAACAGATAGACCGAACTTGCGCGGACAAAGACATCTGTTAGTTCTTGCTTCCAAGCATCTGGGGTTGTTTCGAAAAGGGCAGAAATGATACTTCATGGAACCCCCACTGAGTTTCTTTAGAAATTGAGAAGTTGACTTACGGCGGCAAGACACTTTGAGAATTCGAGACGTAACAGTCGCCACCCATCATAAGTCAACAGTGGGAGGGCCAGGGGTTCATTAGCGACCCTCATAAGTTACATCTCTGTCAATTTCGCTGTTTGGGATTTTAGGCCGAAACTGCTTCTAAAACAATCGGTCATTGGCCGGAACCAAAATTAAGCCAACTCCTCTTATTTGAATCCACCTATCCGGGAATTTTGGAGGAGAAGAGAGGAGGCGGATACAATTAAGTTAGGACCTCTGGCTCGGCAGAGAGTCCAGTTTAAGATTAAGGAGTCTGCTAAAACTTTCGAACGTGGCGGAGGTAAACCCCGCGAATATACTTGCGCGTTAAACTAAATAATTTGAGCAAGTACAGCACTGGCGGCTTGGAAGCCGAGACTAGGCCTTATAGTGTAGATTTTTGACTCCGAGTGACTGTGAGAAACAATAAAGTGTTCCAGTGGCAAAGTGCATTGTGTTGGTCAGAAGTGCTTCACCCTCCTTGTCCGAGCCTGACCCTTAGCCGACCTGAGGAGAGAACTCATTGCCAGGAGCTAGCCAAACCCATCGCCAGCTTCCACCCCACTCACGCCTTCCCTCCCTTAAAATGAATCGCAAACAGCACCTAGCTGTTTGCTGGCGCCCATAATATCAGGTTCTATATGGGAAATCCCAATCCCGTAATCAGCAACGGAAGGAGGAAGCGGTGGAGCCGGAAGAAGCGGTGGAGCCGGAAGAAGCGGTGGAGCCTGGTCAAGCCGGAACCAGCCACGACCTAACAACTTCAACGGAGGCAGCACCAGGTAGGGCAGTCAAAGTGACAAGTGGCAACCACCTTGTGGGCAAGAAGCCTTCAAAGAGGGTGGGCGGTTAGAACTTGGGTCACAGCTTGTCGATTTAGCATTGAATGACTCACAAATAAATTCCATGAAGTCCATTATATGCAGGTTTTAATGTACTCTGAAATAGATATCCAGTGAAAAATGTGACAAAGGATACCACTGTCTTCATTTCTCTGAAAAGAAATCAGGCAAGCATCCTGGGAAAACAAGTTCCTATTTGTTTTATAGTTCCTGCGTTTTAGTTTTGGTGGCTGACGTTCTTTTGGGGTTCGCCGAGCCTGAAAGTAAAATAATAAAAATCAATCACACAATAAAAATACTATAAGGACTAAAAGTCCAAATCATACAAAATTATTTGAAAATATGCATCGCAAAAAAACATTAAGGTCCAGTAGAAATTATTTTTTGAAACTGCAAGATCATATTTTAAGTTGAAGCATTCTGTCTTCATACTAACCACTAATAATCTCAAATTCAACACGCTTTTAAGTCACATTTATAGGTTTGGGGAACAAAAACTTTTTTATTCCCAACAGGACAGCCTAAAACTAAGAGTGTGTGATCCACTGGGATAAAAGGTTAAATTGCACATAATCATTACACTTACTGTGGATTCAAACCCTATATTTGAAGAGATTTAAAGTTAAACAATTAACAGCTTAATTTCAATAGTTCAAGTATACTATGAAACTTAAGTATGTAGACTGTTAATAGCAAAACAATTCACTGTGCTTGTCATGCCTTTTGAAGAAAGGACCAAAATTACTTTCTCAAAACTATCACACATACATTACTGGTTGATGGTTAATGAAAAGCAATCATTAAATTTCACTGACATTAAAATCCCGAACTTCTGAATCCAATGAAAACATGGAAGTGTCCACCACACCACCATACAATGATGTAACCAACGCATGCATTATTTCGACACAAGACAGCGACTTCAATGTGATTTTCATGGACTCAGCACAAATGACTCTTCCACACGTCAGTATTTTCAGACTTGCAACTGAAATAGGCAATTGCGTTAGTATACGCAACTTCTTTAACACTCGAGAAGTGATCGTGTAACTTATATGAGGGATCACATTCAGCACCACACGACACTTTCACGGAAATTGTGATGGATGGCAGTATTCTAGTTTTCAAAACAATGAACGAAACATAGTTAACACATCCGTCTATTTTACATGCATATTTCCACCTGTAGCAGAGAGTACCATTTGTTTGGTGTAATTATATACAAGAACCTTACACTTTCACGGGAAATCTATGGTCAAAGGAATTTACTGTTAATTATATTAAAAATACAGCACGTGTTAAACATAACCAACCTTTTTCGTAGAATGTGCCGGGTGAGTAATGTCAGGAGTTGGTCCTGGTGACTGCTTATGAGACATAGTTATTCACAGCATAAAGTAAATGTAAGGCATTTATCCTAACGGTATATCGCGCGGTTTAATTACGTCAAGTACAATGAACACCTCAAGAGACACTAACAAAACAAATTACTCTCACTAGCACCAAAACGACGAAACCATACAACGCTAACAATAAAACAACACAGCCAAAGCATGGAAACAGATTCACTCGCGGCGCTGCCAGCCGCGTGAAACTCTTCGTTATTGGTGGGCAACATTGTCGCCATGAAACCACGGATGCCCTACTACTGCCATCTCTACGCAATCAACATAAGAATCGAGATGGCCGCCAGCACCGAGAGCACAATCGGTAAGAACGTATGCTAACATAGCACAGCTAATGGGTGCTCCTCGCCCCCCACCCCCTCCGAAGGCATTATTAGCAAGTATAGCGATAAATACTTTTACCACCAGATCTCTAGTACTGAAGAGGTTTTTACCTCTCCCCCACCTCTATTTTTAATTTATTTGGACCTGTGTTCAGCATCACTTCACCCATATCCTTCGGGATGGATTTGAGTGAAGTGCTATTAAACTTTGTCCACCCACCAAAACAAAAAACGGAATAAGAGCCTCTGCAGTTCTGCAGTAGAAGAGATCAGGTTGCAAATTATTTATAGCTCTGCAGTAAAAGAGATCAGGTTGCAAATTATTTATCTGACGAAAGTTTCTCAACAGTGCCTGGAAAGTCATAACATTTCATTCACATCAAACGCCTCCTTACCCAAGTGCACTGGACATTGTGAACTGTATCATACGTACATGGAATATTTGTATTTAGAAAAGCTGAAGGTGGGGAAACTTGAAAGAAAATTCTGTTTCCATAAGAGATAATTGTATTAAACCTCATAATTTGCTCACAACTTACACTTGAAAGACACACAGAATATAGTTTTTTGGTTACATTTAAGTATTATAAAACATGTATAGTAAGCAGCAATACTCAGGTTTCCCATTTATTATTAATTTCATTAGAATGATGAAACTCAAGAATGTGAAATACACTCTTGTCAACAAGATTAAGATTGCATTTAATGAGATATGAAAATCTGATATATTCATCTTCACAAGTTCAGTACTGGGCAGAATAATACGGTGGAAATAATAACATATCCTGCAGAAATATAATGAATACTGAAAATCTTGAACCTTTTCATATTCCAGATCAATAATGTTAAGGATTATATGGCAAAAATAATAATACCATATCTTAAAGAAATATAATGAATACTGAAAATCTGGTATCTATTCATATTCCAGTTCAGTAATGGAAAGGTTTATATAGCAAAAGTAACATATCTTACAAAAATAAAATGAACGTTGAAAATCTGGTATCTATTCATCTTCCAGTTCAGTATTGGATATGACTATATAGCAAAAATTAATAATATATCTTAAAGAAATGCAATGATTATCGAAAATCTTATGTTCATGTTCACTAATTCAGTACAGGATAGGATTACATGGAAAAAAATAAGAGAAGGAATACACCTATAACAATGTAATGCCAAATGCCTTCTAGGGAACTTGAGGGTTCTCTGAATGAGTCACACTTATGCAATTCAATTAGGTGCAATAAGTGTATTATGATTAGTTCAAGACCTTTCCAGACTATCTAGTTCATGTTATATGCGTAGAGATGGAAGTACTTTTGTATGTTTCCCCTTTGCCCTATCCCAGTTATACCCCTGCTCACTGGCCTCACTCAAATCACAGGAATTATTCCGATTCATTATCATGAAATAGAAAAAATTATATTGTCATGCATTGTATGTGCCATCTATCCCTGAAGTTTGACAGTACAATGACAATGGAATGGCGGTAGCAGCCACTACCATTAGTTCAGTCTGTTAATTTCTACTCGACCTTCACAACTGTGGGAGGACCAAAGATAATCAAGAAAGTAACAAAATGTTTTGACATCCAGAAGAAAATCATTAGAATGACAGATATTAATATGTCTCTCACATAAACATTATTTGAAGAATATTTGAGGTTTACACGGAGGTTTACACAATATCTACATGACCCCACATCCCAGAAGATGGCACCCTTAAAAAATTTAAGAAATTAAAAATACATCCCCTTGGCAGCAAATTCTTGCTCTCATTATTGATACTTGTCATGGATAAAAGACATCTCATCACTGACAGGGAATGGTCTGATCTGACATGTCAAAACCTGCCCCGATTTTTTTTTTCTCCCCCTCTCTTCACTGCAAGTGTACACACAACAAAATCCACTGTCAAAATTTTAGCTGCTAATATGCACTGCAAGTATTTTTTAAAAATTGCTGAACATGACCAGTATTGTAGCCTGCCAGACCATTCGAGAAATGTCTACCCTCAGTCTATGTTCCTCTCTTAATGCCAGAGACCAAGTTTCATACCCCTACAAACACTCAGGCAAAATTATTGTTTTATATTTTGTAATTTTTACTTCTTTAGACAGCAAATGGGAAGACAAAAGGTTCTGGACTGAATGGTAAGGATTACCCAAATTCATTCTGCTCTTAATTTACTCTCGAATCAATTTTGATATTCTACTTTTGTTCCCATATATATTAGAACTCTGCCACATTTTTAAGGATCTGCTAGCTATCTTCATATTACAATTTTGCCCAACCTCCTTGCTAGCATCAATTAAAGTTTGTGTGTTTTTCTTTATGGTACCTCTGTTATTTCTCAATAGATTTGCATCACCAGCACAGAACAGCAGCTGATGTGTCCCAGAGTGACATTAAAAACTATACTATAATATGGGTTAAGATATCTTTATTTTTCAATTCACAGCATTCCATATAGTAGTATTATATGAAATGTACACAAGCAGAACACCAATAGAGTAGTCACAGAATGAAACTTTATTCCAGCCAGTGCATAGAGAAATTGCTTACTGTGCTTACTGTATGCAACTAAGTGAATTAAACAGAGTCACTGAGTGACAAATCGACAGAAGGGCTTGAAACTATAATACAGGAAACTTTATATATATTTATTATATTAAAAAACGAGAATGAAAACGTGTATTGAAGTCATTTTCACCAGTTCCTGAAACAGATTTTAGATGACAAAACAAATTCTGTGGCAGCACATAATAATTCTTGTAGCTTTCTCAGAAAGGGGAAGATCTACAAATAGTAACTTCGTGCACTGAATTATTCAAGGAGTACAGCTATCAAGTGTGGGCAGGAAGATTTTTTTCTTCTACAAGCTCCTAATTGTAAGAAAACAACAAAATGCACACTTTTCATGGACAAAATAGTTTTCATATTACAATCTTTCTACCAATAAACAAATTCATTCCAAGCAATGCATCAGCATTGTTTGACAAAGCAAACATTGCTACGATATAGTAATGTTGTTACATTTTTATATAAACTGTGCGCACATCTTCTAAAAATGGGGGGAAGAAACTAGTAACACATGTGAACAGTGACAGAATAATTGCATAGGAATGTAAACAGAACTGTATATCTAATATTCAATGTAATAAATAAGAAATGTCATGTAAGATTTGAGGCTTTCATGGCAGTGACTATAAAGAAATGTCATGTTAAGTTATAAATATTTGCAGCGTGAATGTCAGAGGATAAAACATACCAATATACATATATTTTGCACGAGCTGAAGAATCCTGACCTTGGAGGTTATGCTGTTTAGAAGTAGGTCATATAGTCAAAGATCAGGGGCAGGTCTACTCCAATTAAAATCTTATACTCCATAGATCCTTATAGACGCAAACAAAGAATGTAGAACATATCATAACACAAGAATTATACACAATACAAGCACTAATATAAATATAAAAATAAATATGGGTACACAGTTGGATTTGAGGTTCTCATAGCAGTGACTGAAAATTTGGTCCCCTGGCTTTATAATCCCATGTAGTTTGGAGAAAGCCCAGCTTATCAGGAGGAACATATCACAAGTTCAGCTTGCCATCAGCTTCTGGTTTCTTGCTTTGCTAATTTTTAGCCCTGAAGATGGAGACAATATGTTCCTCTGAAATGATGGGCTCTCTCAAAACTGCATGTTGCTACAACCCAGAAGACCACAGTCTTCAAATACTTACCTAGTTGAATTGAATTGAATTTATTTACATTCTATAAATCCTAAGCAGGTTAGTACCTTTGGATACAGAACAAGTCAAAAGGTTACATACATAAGTACAGGCAATTTTAGCTTAAAAATTAATATAACTTAATTTTACATCATTCTCTATTTACATTGAAGTATTCATCTAAAGAGTAGAAGGAATGAGCATGTAGATAATTCTTTAACTCTGATTTAAAC